ACCCCAAATTTGTTGTATTTTTTTCCGTTTTTTTAGTTATATTTTATTCTTGAAAGTTCAAGCTCTTTTTGATTTCGTACATTTCTCTTTCAATGATAGCATCTTTTGAATTGCTTTCATTTGCTTCATATTCAAGTTTGTCGAGTCGTTCTGCTAGAATTTTTAAGTTTCCACTTATTAGTAATATAAAGTTTTGTTCTTTTAATAGTTTGCTTGTTTCTGATAGTATAAAAGTTTTTTGTTCTTCAAGCTTTGTTGTTTTTAATTTTTTGATGTTTTTTAACGTTAAACCCATATTTTAATTTTTTAATAAGATTGATAAAAACGCGTCCGTTTACGGCGAGGTTTACGCAATTCCTCCTATCTTACTATTCCTCCTATAAAACTACTAAAATATTCCTTCTATAAAATTATTAAAATATTCCTCCTATATAAAAATATAAATATTCTTACTATATTAAAATATTCCCCCGATACAAAACTATTAAAATATTCCTCCTATAAAACTATTTTAACCTTTAAAAAAGATATGATTATACGAAGCGATGAAATGATTGACAATTTGATTTTTTATGGTAGTACTTTCAAATATAACTCATGTATATTCGTGAATGTTCATATTATTTTGAGCTATTATTTTTATTTATACTGTGTTATTATTTTAAGATATTGTTTTGTTATTTACAATAAGAAAGATCGTACATATATAATATATGGCCGGAGCAAGAAGAAGGCGTATATTGTCTTATCGCCAAGCCCCGCTTACATTGTTGCCCTCAGTTTATGTAACAAGTTAAAAATTACAAAATACAACACAATATATTACAAGTAGTAAATCGTATAAAAAGATATATAAATAAACATTTTTTTTTAGTTATATATATATATATATATATATATATATATATATATATATATATACATATATATTATTTATAGATAAGAAATAAATCAAGACAAAAATTTAAATTACTTAGGTTTATTAATGAATGAAGTACTTAATTTATACCAAAATAAAATTAATCACGTGTAAGTATTTGCAAATCAATCTTCGGGATACCCGGGATTTTTCGGGTACAACTTTTTTAGTCCTAAAATTCAGCAATTGAAAATGTCCGGGATTTTTGCCAACTCTAACTGTGGAAAACATGAACTTGATTTAAATTCATAGAAATATATAAAGAATACGTATATACTTCTATGAGTTTAAATGAAGTTCATGTTTTATACAATAGAAACAAAATTTTTTAATTTCGTTATGTAACAAAGAATAACTTTAAAACAAGTTACCCTACCGCGGTTTTGCTTTTATTCTAGCGTTTTAAATTTTATTCTAGGAATGTTGAAGGAGATTGCAACACTGAAATATAAACTTTATTGAGAGGCCAGACACAAGTAAACTTCTTTATTTCCTAGTTCAGCGACTATTTATTTTCTTTATAGCACCTGCAGCGCGAATATTCATAGCGTTAATTTTTACAGAATGTTTACATCAATGATACAACATTAATATTTATTCAATAATCAGCTTTAATAATTAAATCTGAAGCAGGTTAAGGAGAAAGAGATGTACATGATCTTCAACGTCGCCCATTTTTCGTAATATTTTAATCCCGCAAGATTTTAATCAACCTGATTTAAATACATATAGGCAAATTTTTCCCTTATATATACTGAAATTATGAATACTTTTTGAAGCTCTTAAAACTTTAAATATGCTTTATAAAAGTCGCTCATTAACTCTTTGCAAAACCTGTAAATAATCAATTTTTCGTTTCTCGTTATCATTTTTATAACCTATGACTTGACCTTTATCGTTATGTGACGTTTATGTGAATGTTGATTATTATTAACGTTTATGTAAATGTTGAAGTTATATTAAGTTTTTTTATTTTTTCTATAAAAAAATAAATTATTTAAAATTTTATAAAATTATTTTATTTCAAGTTAACTTATAGTAATGGTTTTACAATGTAGAAGTTTTACAAATGTTTATATGAATATACAATATAGAAAGTTAACAACTTTCTATATTGTATTTTCTTTGTTTTATTAATATTTTTATTTATATAAATTTTGTTTTTGTGTTTTTAAATTTTATATTTTTTTGTGTTTATAAATTTTATATTTTTTTGTGTTTTATGGTTATATATTTTTTTGTATTTTTTATTTTTTTAATTTTTAACCATTGTGCGGAGAGATGTCAAAAATTTGATAAGGTTTAAAATAAAATTTTATATTTAAAGATAGTGTTTAATATTAGAGTATTTTGAAAAGAAAGATTTTATTAAAGAAAAAACAAATAGGTAAAAAAATAATTACTTTTACACAAAACTTTACAATCTCTACATATAACATATTTATGATATATAATAATAACACATTTTATGATATATAGTTTTAACATATATATTCTGAAATATGAGCCAGTGTATTAATTTAGCTCATAAGTTTAGTTTTCGTTTCCCTTTCTCTACTTGGCAAAATACATTGTTTATACAAAATAGTTGACAGAAAATGTCTGCCATGTTTCTACGGATAAATATAGTTATATTTAGTTGTAATAATAGTTATATTAAGTTTGTAAAATTTTTTTTGGTATTGTGGTTTATCCTCCTCCGGCTAGTTGCCATATAGAGGCCACATTACCAAGGTACCGCAAAGACAGGTTCGGAGCGTCATAACCCGCTCTACGGACCAAGAGTAAAGTGAGTTTAGGAAGAACGAAGATATGTTAGAGTAAAAGACAGAAGTAGTCGTGTTAGAAAGACAGCATAGAGAAAGCGGACAGGATTGCACTCGATTTTAGGAGGTGCAATAAGTTGAAATAGGGACTAAAAACACAGGGACTAAAAAGTTTCAGTATGTGTTTTTTTCCGTTTGTAAAATTTTTTTTTAATTTAGTTTTTTTTTAGCACGATTATATAATAAAGCAAATTATAAATGCGGATGCATTTTCGTTATTACTTATGGGCTATCTTTGTTTAAAAAAAAACAACAGTATTTTGCAAAATATTAGGAAGCTTGCTATCAAAGTTAAGGTCTTCTCATTTTCGTAATTATATTTGTACCCAATTAGATGGACCTCCAGTTTTGAATGCAGTTACTCTCCAATATCTAGAAGAATTATTACTAGAGAAGTCATGCCTTATACTGCTGATCTTTTCAACAGTAGAATTTACAATTGTACTGTTCATGTGAAGCCAACAGTAAGAAACGCTGGCTTCAAGCCACTGACTACGGGTTAAAAACAACACGAACTGGTAGCTATTAATAAACTTTTAAAATAAGTTGTAAAGTTGTAAAAAACTTTTAAAACAAGTTGTAAAGTTGTAAAAAACAAAATGAACTGGTATCTATTAATAAACTTTTAAAATAAGTTGTAGAGATATAAAAAAAGTTTTAAATTTTTTTTGGTTTTCAAAATACAATAGTTGGTAAGAACAGTAATTTTAATATTTTTTTAATATAAAGTATGAACTATACCAACTAAGTTTTAACAAATAACCTGGTGTTAAAAAGTGGTGTTTAACAAATAACCTGGTGTTGAAAAGTTGTGTTTAACAAATAACCTGGCGTTAAAAAGTGGTGTTTAACAAATAACCTGGTGCAACTGATTCAATCCCCTAAGATTGAGACCAGGTTATAATAAAGTATACATATTTTTGGTTTTAATTGAACTGCGTTATTGGGATAAAATGAAACAGCCTTGGGATGATATAGGACAAACGTGTAATTTACAACATGGTAAAAAATTTCATCATTAATGACAAAAAAAGTGAATTAGGAGATTAATTAAACTTTTCAGTTTTTTCACCGCTCTAAAAATCATTTTCTGGGGTACTTTTGAAAAATATTGTTTTTTATTACACACAGACAGACGAAGTGATGTTTGCCAAATGGAAGAGGAGTGGGGCGGGTGATAAATCTCACTTTTTACATTATATAAGCTTGACTAGAGACCTCTCCTAATTTGAATTTTGTGATGTCCTACTTCTTCCGCATCCTATTTCACTCAACTCTAATATAGTATTACTAACATATATACGAGACAATATATAATTTTTATTATATTATATAGTATAATAAAAATCTCAAGGATTGTGAGTTATCAAATGAGATCAAATTTATAATTTTATGATTTAATTAGTGTCGTAGTTTTAATTTAATTATAACTTTGTGGTATCGCTTTTGTAAATTAACTTCTAGTCTGGCGTTTTTACTTTAATTTAATTAGCTGCGTGGTATTGCTTCTGTATTTTAATTTCTTATCTGATATCGTTACTTTAATTAAATATCGCCTCGTATCGTAATTATTGTCTGATATAGTCTTTTTTTCTGTGTTTAACACTCAACAACTATAGAAAACTAATCATCATTTATTATGCTTCATATAACATCATTAACTAAATATTATTAACCTAAATCTTTAATTAGCAAATTTACTTGTATTTTGTTAATAATAAATCCAAATGATCACCTTTTTTATTTTTTTCTTATCGTAACTATGCGACCATTTGATAACCTACGATTCTTTTAGTTATCACTATTGTGTGGTATCGAACCGATACTAATGGTAACGACATTAGTATATAAGCAAAATTAAACGTTACCATCTTTTTTAGTATCACGTTACATTAGATACCAATATCGATTTACACTATACCAGTTATCAAGTGTCTACTCTCGGTTCATTTTTTTCAATCAAATATAAATAAAATATTATTTTAAATTATGTATCTGATAAAACCAAAAAATATCAAACTAGAAAAAATATATTTTATTAAATAAGTATATAAAAATATTATTAATATAATAGATAAGTATATTCGATAATTTTTATGAACAAAATAAAGAGTTTGAAAGATATTCAATTTTATGTATAATATCTATAAATTTGTCATAATACTTTATATTAAATATTTATATAAGTTATAACTTTAGTAACGTTAGATATTTTATAAGGTTATATACCTAAATATTATGTTTTTTTCATTTAGGCGAGGCTCATTTTCAATACAGCACTGAGCAAAGTAGATCGTTAGAGATATATTGTGAATATCCTGCTATTCTCAGAAAATATACATCTCGTGTAATGTTTCCACCATTAATTGTTCCTGAAGATCCGAATTTACGTTCAATAACAATTCCGTTACAGTGCAGTCTTACAACAGAGATGATTAATTGCATTTTAACAATGCGTTATTCTGAAACATTATCAAACTACTCATTTGAGGCATCTTCAGTTAATCGATTATTTATTGATTCACCTCATCTCAAAAATGTTGTGCACAACTTGCAGTTGATATCTCCTGGGTCTGAATACAAAAATGAAGCTAAATGTCAATATAATGACAACATTTTGCATACAACATATGGGCTATCAGCTTTTAAAATTAGAGTAGTTCATTCACGCGATCCTATATTATCTGTAGTTGAAGTTATTGATCTATCTGAAAATGTACTTGCTACTTCTCACACAGTAGGAAAGTTTTCTTTACCAAGTGAAAAACAGGTTGCAAAATCTCAGAATGTTTTTACACATGAGCAATCTTTCGAAAGATCTATGTTGATCAGAGGATCAAAAAAAGATTGGGGATTATTAAAATCACGATGGAAAGGATTTACTAAGGCAAAAAAAAATCGTAGAGGTCAGCGTGGAGAAATGGAACTAAAGTTGTTTACATTAAATGGAAAAAACTCTAGGTACGAAATTGTGAATAAGGTGAATGATGTTAAATTTGAGTGGGCTACAGAACAAGGACGTGGAAGTGTAGACTTACTTAGTGGTTATATTCGATTTTCTGGAAGTGTTTCGGATGTTCCTGAGTTTCTGTGTGTTGCATATTCGATTGCTATTTTGTTTGTTCTTTGTCAGCCACGCCCTCCACCACCTAAAACAGGTGGTGTTTATTTACCACCAAGTCAACCCGGGCGTTTAAATTTAGATGCAATGCCTTTGCTCGTTATTGGTGGCTTGTATGCTACTACTCTCCCAAAATGGTATCATGTTGGGACACTGGGAGGCTATTTCATTCAAGTTCCTAAAGTTTTTAAACGTAAGAATGATGACAATGATTATGATGGAGGCGACTGTGGTGACAGTGGTGACAATGATTATGATGGTGGTGCAGATAACTGTGAAAACGAAATTGATTGTGAAAAAATTGGTTTTGATAGTTGTGACACTTATTGGATAGAAAACAATAGCGGTTGTGGAAGTGGAGGAGGATGCGGCAGTAGTTGTGGAGGTGCAGGTGGTGGTGATAATATTTGTGAAAATAACAGTGGGGGTGGTTGCGGAAGTAGCTGTGGAGGCGGAGGAGGATGTGGTAGTAATTCTGGAGGTGGTGGAGGATGTGGTAGTAGCTGCGGAAGTGGTGGTGGTGAATAATTTATTTTTCAAATATGGCTTCACTTTATTTATATTTTCACTATTAGAATTTTAGGAAACAAGTTTGAATTAAATTAATACGAGAAACTTATTTGGAAATTTTCTGCGTACTTTTTAAAACCCCAGTAGGCATCAGACCAAAAAAAAGACGTCTTTTGAACGTTCAAAAAACGTCAAAAACATTCAAAAGACGTTCAAAAGACGTCTTTTTAATGTCTTGTGCCCACTGGGACTTTTTAAACTTCATTTTTTTTTTTTTTAAAGACAAAAAAAAAAAACTAAATTAAAGCATTTTTGAAGTCTGTAAACAGTTTGTTGCATATGTAGTTCTTTTAAAGTATGTCTTTTTGCATAAGATTCTCTTATGAAAATAACTTTTTTTTGACAATTCCTCGTAGAGCAAATATAAACTGTTTCTAGAAACAGTGGTCCAGGAACGCTGACCGTTGCTGAATGTTCGCAACATCTTAAACAAAATAAAAGCACTTTTTCAATTTTAAATATCAACATTCAAAGTTTGAATAAAAACATTGAAATTTTGAAAATATTATTAAATGAACTTAAACACGATTTTAAAATTATATGTCTGACGAAAACTTGGCGTAAAAGTGGTGAAACAAATTATGAATTTGATCTAGTTAATTACGCATCAATTCACCAACCACGTGAATTTAATGCAGGTAGGGGCGTTAGTATTTTTATCCACGATTCACTAAATTATATTTTACGTAACAACCTCTGTGTTAATGAAACTAAGGTTAGGATTATTGTTATTGTTATTGTAAAAATTAAGTACAATAACAATTACAATACATTAATATTGTATTGTAATACCAGAGATGCAATTAAAACATTATTTATTGCTGTGAATAAAAACATTTACAATAGCTATTGTATAGTTTTTTCTTTCTAACAATACATTGAAGCTCTAAAACTATTGTATTGTATTGCTGTGATGTAAAACAATTACAGTAACTATTGTATTGTATTGCTCGGATAAAAACAATTACAATAAGTACTATGGTGTATTTTATAGTATTTAGATTTTTTTTCACGCATTTATTATTATTTGGGAACTAGATAATTTAGCGGTGCCCGTGATGTTCGTTTTCAGCATTCATATATATAAATTTTATTTATTTTGAGAAGTGAAGTGAAGCCAGGAAAGCCAAAGAAGTATATATATTACGTATACTTAATAAATATTAGGTTCAGGGGCGCACGTGGCACCCGTTTCTAGCAACCATTTACATATATAAATTTTATTTATTTTGAGTTCAATAATATAACTGTTTAAATAATAACTTATTTAGAATTAACATTAAAATAATAATCAAAATCATACAAATATATAATTTATCATTTGCTTGTAAATAAATAATTATTTCCTCTAAAAAGTGAAATTTTATATATTTTTGTAATTTTGTCTTAACTGATATTGACATGCTTCAGCGGACGATGACGTCTAAACTTATTGATTAACTACATTAAGCGCGTGAAAATATTTTTTTTTTTTTCAATATATCTAACCGCTAATATGTAATCAATTACATCGTTATTGAATCAGAGAACGATTGCCCTGGGTAATTATCGATTAGATTGTCTAAAAATGTAAACTACTTTTGTTTTGTTAAAATATTTTCTACATTTTCACATTGTTCATCACCTATCAGACCTTACCAGCAAATTTTGTGTGGATCATTTTTAAAAAATGAGGCAGTTTAGAACACCAAATAAATATTGTTTTTGATTTATGTAACAAAACTCTTTTATAACTTTGCAACTAGATGTCCAGTTACTTTATGAAACACATACAGTCATAAAGCCAAAGGAAAACAAAAGTTATATTAGAGTAAGTGTGAGTTGAGTAAGTTTCGAAACAATTAGATAGTGCCTAATGTAAAAGCAATTAACTTAGAGGAAGAAATGATAGTAATTAATCATGTCTATCCCCAACAGTAAAAGAAATACAGGCGCGATTAAACTCACTTTTATAGACCTATATAAAGTTTGCAATGAGGACAAGTGATATCCAAAAAATAAAAAAGAAACAGAATCAATACTTATATATTAGTTGTAGGGGAGAGCGGGGTTGGTTGTCACACTTTTTACATTTTAGGCTGCTCAGCTTTTAATTTTCATCCAATCAATGCCAAACTTTGCACAAAGCTAGTTTAACTATTTCCAGTAACTATTATAATATTTTTATGACATTGAGTGAAATATTTATTGCTGTAAAATCATTTTTCAAAGACCACTTCTGTGTGACAACTAGCCCCGCACACGGGGTAGTTTGTCACATGGTGCGGGGTTGATTGTCACATTTGGATTTTGACAAGTTTAGATAAGAATTTAATGTAAAACGAGTACAAATTAATTTCGTTTATGTTTTACTGAGAAAAATAAAAATAAAATACTATAAACTGAAATATATATATTTTAAATATAACACAATTAACAAATTTAGTTTATCACTATAAATGTTTTTAGGTTTAGTTTTTTAAAAATTATTGGATAAAGAACACAATTCACAAATATTGCATACAACAATTTGCACACCAGGCTTACTGTTGTAAGCCTGGTGTGCATTCTTCATGAGACCGTTTTTGGCAAACCTGACATTGAATCCACTATTCTCTTGATCGGCTGTTGGAAAATGATTCAAAACAATAGATGCACTAAATATAAACAATGCGCAAATAAAACAACAGACAGTTTTACAAACTTAACAACAGCTAGTTGTTTAGTTTGTAAACAAAACAATGAACAGTTGAACTTCTGCAATCCTTTTTCTATAATTATACTAAACATTGGATCGGAATCTAAAGTTATGCACGTTGAAATAAAAATAATTTAGATTACAGATATTTAGTTAAACAAGTATAACACTTTGACTTTAGATTTTTAAATAATATCTTAAACATTAAAATATTCCTCAATAATGCGGAAAATAAACAAAGCCAATAAAAAATCTGCAAGCGGCGTTTAATTTGCAGCGCATGGAGTCGAGGCAAGTGTGACAACCATCCCCATATATTTTGTGACAAGCAACCCCTTCTGAGTAAGTTGCTGGACAACTGTACATTTACCTAAAAGCGTGAGAATTTCATGATAATTTTTTACGGATTAACCCAGTGGGCATTTCGACGTCGAACGAACGTCGAGCGACGTCGGATCTCGACGTCGGATCGACGTTGGGTTTACGTTGGAAATGGAAATGTTATTTGACGTCGGATAAACTGACATCGCGCGACGTCGGCATTCCGATGTAAATCCAACGTGTTTTTTGAAAACTAAAAAACGCTGCCATAAGCAGGAATCGAACCTCGGTCAATTAGTTTCTAAGCCCAATGCGCTTACCACTACACCACTAGGACATATTAATTGATGAGTTTATTTAGTAATTTATACTTGTAGCTATTTGGGAATTATTACTTTGATAAGAAATAATTTTGTTTAAATATTATATAAATATTAAAACGAATAGTTATATATTATAAAAAATGTATACTCGAAAATGTTAATAGTTAAAAAACTATGCTAGTGCATCATACAAAACCTCATGATGTTTTATCAACCTTTATTCAAACTTTTTTCCATTAATAAAAAAACACGCCTAGTTCACATAATTATTGAAGAGCGCAATTGCACACATATTGTTGGGTTTGGATTAAATTTTCATCAGCGATGTCTTACGACGTTGTTCCGACGTCGTTTTAAGGACGTTGGATTGACGTCGGAAGACGTCAAAAGACATCGGAGTACGTTAATATTATGACGTTGCCCGACGTCTTTTTATCGACGTTGGATCGATGTCAGTACTGCGACGTTTTTTGGACGTCTTTTATAAGGTGTCGGAACAACGTCAAAATAAATCGAAACGACGTCAGGGGATGTTGAGATAAAGACATCGCCCGACGTCATTTTACTGACATCGGAACAACGTCGGAATAGGTCTTTTGACATCGCTGATGAAAATCAAACGTAAATCCGACGTCGGATTGACGTCGGGTGCCCACTGGGAAGTTACTCAAATGAATAAAGTACTTTATAAATCTATATTCAAAACACAATAAAATAATGTTCGTTTGGTAAAAGAAAATTTCTGAGTAGGCGAAATTTTACTTTTTCATATCAAAAACCTTTAAAAACGAATAACTTTTCTTCTGCACGCTAAAAAAAGATTAAAATTACTGTAAAAATGTTTTTTTTATATAACATTTCTATTGCATAATTTGAAATTTCTATATCTTATTTACATTTCCTGTAATAAACTTTGTGACAACCAACCCGCGTGACAACCAACCCCGCTCTCCCCTACCCTATTTCAAGGTCACTTATCTCGGAGACTGGACTGTTAAAACATTTATTAAATTTTGACACTAAAATTATTTTTTTTAATACAATAACAATATATTGTTATTGTATAATAAAGACGAATTGCAATACAATATTTATTGTTGTTGTAGTGGGTCATTACAATACATTTTTTTTTTTCAGATATTGTTATTGTTTTATAAAGATCAATTGCAATACAATATTTATTGTTATTGTATTACAGTATTATAGTTTCTAAACTAAGTTAATACAATAACAATAGTTATTGTTACTATTATTGTTTTCATTACAATTACAATAGTCCTAACCCTATATGAAAAAGTGAATCATTATGCATTGAATTAGTAAATAAAACTTAAAAAAATATAATTATAAATGATATTTATAGACCACCATCTGATAACATGAAAAAGTTTAAAACTCATCTTTAAACATTTCTAAACAAAATTAAAAAATCCAGGAAACATTTATTTGGTCGGGGATTTTAACATCAACCTAATCAACTATGCTTCTAATAATAATGCTAAGAATTTAAAAATACTCTTTTAGAAAATAACTTTATTCCAACATTAAACAAATCAACTAGAGTTACAAAAAAGTCTTCTACTCTACTTGATAATATCATAACTAACAGTTTTTCTAATAGTCCTTTTTTTACAGGCATAATTCAGACTGATTTATCGAATCATTTTCCAACACTTATAGCAACCAATAATATTTTTATTAACAATATTGCCTCAAAATCCACAATAATTCGGCGA